AGTTAACGATCTAAACACCTTTATTCAGGATGAACTATCAGATGTGCGAAACTAAGGCTTAAAATATACTTAAGTTAAAATTTTCCAGTATAATATGCATCCAAAATTAAACATTAGCACATCATTGTCAACACGAAGGATCGTCAATTTGCTAAAATCGAAGGATGTTTCGCCAAAGCTGATCATTTTATTTCTACCGTTTCCCTTTCTTCATCTAATCGTCAAAACGGTTGGCATACGGTAACAATTATGATCGTGTAAGAGAGGACGTTGTATAATATTGGCATGTAAATGGAAACATGAAAAAGCAAAATGCATCTGAAACCCTACGAATCCCAATTGAGAGAAAGCATAAACAAGAGTATTTGGAGCAAGCAGTAAAAAGTTCACTTATGTGTATGAAAAGAACAAAATATTATAATTATTTAGAGCAAATTTTATCGCTTAAAAAAATAAACTTCTACTAATCAATCATTTTATCACTGATGGAATATCTGTTATCATTAATCGTTTCATCCTACAGTATAAATGATTCTATCACTAAAAAAGGGATTTATCTCCAACTCCAAAAGCAATCGGATTCCGCCGACAGCACATGAATCTCTTCAGTTGGTTGGAATCTCCTCTATCCAACGTACCAGAAACTTTGGGGCGTTGTCGAGCAAAGCTACAGACACTAATAGCCCAAAGAAACTCAGTCAGTCCCAATGACGGTTCAAAAACACATACTAATGCTTCTGTTGCTAAACAGACCGATCGTATAATTCTCAGAAAATCAAGAACATTCCATTGCGCTATGTATGGATATCATAGAGTGACCGGTATTCGATTATTTGGAAGCGTGGAACCCAACAAGGTAACCCTTAAACCCGTATCACTAGACTGACAATAAGCTTCATCCATCATGCAAACAACTCGGATCCTTGAACTGTGTGGCACCTAAGATCACGTACGAATATATTTCGATCAGCCATTAAGATCCCGGTTGTCTCGAGACACTCAAATTCCTCAACTCAGTGAAAAGATTATTCCGGCACAAGCACCGCTTTTTAATTTTTATATTTTCCTTTCCGTATTCTTAAAATTTCTTTTCATTTTTCCGCTTAACATTACAAGTGAAATAATGAATCCGTACTGTTCGTCAACATGCAAATAGACTGTAAATCATCCGCATTGATCAGTTCAAGCAATATCCTGAATAACCATTCTTATCCGATACAATAACCACTCACATCCACGACAAACCATAACTACAATTCCAGTTATGCAAATGGCTCAGATCCTCGGCTGATTTGCTTATCTTCAGGGAAATGGCTGATCGTTTTCCTGAAGGTTCCTTTCTCTAATACATTCATTTAGGCGGCAGGTGGTATGAGTGTTACCATCTTCAAACAATCGCTCTTCTCAGGTTCGCCCAATAACATGCTGGTTTCTGCACGATATCAGATTCCCCAGATTCTCTACTTTCAGAATAATATATGTATTGTTGGGCGGTTTTGTTTTCTCGAAGTAATATTGATGATTTTCTAACACCATCTCATGTATCTGAACCGCTCATTTCTACACATTGTATCTACATTGATCAATGTATACGAGGTACTAGCATTTCCAGAATTACCGTTTTCAATCTAGCGATAATACCAGTTTTGTACGGCAACACATCTTGTTCGCTCGACCATCAGATTCTACTGATTCTCCGGTTTCAGAAAAATCAAAATGATCAGCGATTTCCCGACGAGACGTTACATTTATTCTTTCAATACATTGCAAAAAACAACCAAAAACAAAGTTTTCTTAAAGAAATATTTTACACAACATATTTCAGAGATAGTAACATAAGAGAGAAATGCCTCAGTGGAAACTTCAATCATTGATTAGTTGCATCTGTTGGGAAATCATCAAAACGGAATGTTCTTTCGACCAAACAATATTTTGCCTGATCCTAGAAATTTCGCCTAAACGCTCAGAACAACAACCGCACAAATTTATGAACTCTTGAAGACTGAATTCAGATAAAACCATAATCATTAATCAATATTTGCTTTATTCTCCAGCGATCACAACGGTTTCTCGGCCCAAAACTGAAAGATTTTGGTCGCAATGAAAATAGCGTCTGAATTCTGCTTCAAATGAATCCGTTAGTGACAANTGTTTGGTGATTAGATGAGATTTCAACGAACGTTAGGATTAAGTATCAATTGATCATTTGTAAAATCACAGTAACTTTATACAAAGCAGATCAACCAATATCAATAACAGATCATTTCAATTATCGATGAAATATTCACAAGTGGTGCTTGACTTCTTGAATAAAAAGTCTTCTAATATGCGTTCAGTTGTTCGTTAAGATCCGTTCATAAACCAAAGAAAACGTCTTCAAGCATTAGTCGATCATCATTTTCTCTTTATCGCCCAGTGGTTCTTCTTTGAGATCGATTCGCTGTTTAAGGGCAAACTGAAAGTTGATGAATGGCTTTCTGAGGATTATCGCAGATTACTTTTATGTTCTGATTTTAGGGGACAAATCTTTTGAAAACTGTTTATTTCACGATAATTTTTAAATTCATTTGTTTATACATATAGATTCAAGTGCACGCGTTTGTTTAGTTACACTATTGCCTAAAACTTGATCTGAGCAAGTTTGTCTCATGCAAACGGACGGAAAGATGAATCATGAGAAGTTATGAGTTGGATGTTATGATGGAGGATGTGCACATTCATTTATGCGCGATATCTTGCGATCATTATTTCTAGTTGAATGATCATTGGACTGAGTAAACATTCCCTATTTGCTTTAGTTTATTTCTCAAATTTCATTTAAAATTATCGAATTACATTTTTCATAATCGTGTCAATTATTACTGGAGGCTATTCTTGCGTTGTTCACTCAATGTTAATTAAAAACAAATAGAAATATTCATGACGTTTCTGAATGTTCGAATGTTTTTGCACTTTACAATGACTATGTTATCGAAGAAGATCAATTCAGGTCTTGTGAAATGATAGCGAACCTGGAATTGGCATTTTCCTTTTGAGATTATCCGCACGGACTTGTTGTCGAGAATCATCGCTGCCGCCTTCACTTCCTTTCGAGCGTTTCGGGAGTCTAGATACTCTCGGAACACTTCTACGATATTCATTGTCAACGGCAAAACAAGGGCACCGTCTTTCCTCCTTAAACCAAAAGGTTTTTGTTTAAACTGACACACCAGTATTTTAGTTAGTTTGATATCGAAAATGATGATTACAATAACGATTAGTATGGTATAAAGTGTGAGATAGTAAACGATTAGGTCTATTCTTATTACTGCTACAGATAATACACTGCGTTTCATTGCACTTTCTTCAATTATTCATATGAAATGATTTCTTTTCAAATTTGTTTTGATCTAATATACTCTTAGAGCATCTCGACTCTAGTGCAAAATCTTGTTGCTAGTTGAATGCAGAATGTGAAAGCAATAATGAATTTTTGCTACAATGCAGGACAGTACCTTCTTATTGAGATCGTAACAAAACCCGATAGAGTAGTGGTAACTGTGTAAGTGCCTTGGTAATTCATCTCTTCAATAATGATCGATGCTTCAGTGATATAATGTGCTGGTACCACAACATTGCTATCCACTCCCCACGATAGCAGCTCGCTTTTTGCATTCTCATTAACGTTATTGAATTGCATTTCGTGTTTGAAACCGGCTTTCATCTCGGCGATTTCACCTGCAAACAAATATTCTGATCATTAGAAGCAAAATGATAAAAGTTGAAAATGTGAGCAATGGCCTGAACACGATTGGTTTTCTGGGAGAAACTGAGGAAGTATCTATTGGAACTTGCACGGTGAGGATTGCTCATTTCTAGTTGTTAACGACCGGAAATTTCCACTTCCCCTTCGAAGTGCCGTCGTGAAAAGACGACAATAATCTCATGAAGTGCACATCTTTAGATTTATTTGAACATTTTCCGTGAGTTTTAACAAATATCAACGAAATTGTTTTATACTTCATGATGGCACAAATATTTGCTGAATATTGTTTCATTGCACATTCACAATCAGCAAATATAANCATCATTATGGCTAACGGCGATCGTTACACTCCACTGATCGACGCAACTTGTCATTGAACGAGTCTAGCAATTCACAATCCACACACACTCATTCATTTTCCCTCAAACAAAATTCACCACATGCGCTCTCCTAATATCAGTCTTCAGCCCGTGCTATAATCCCTTATTTACTCTGCTATTATCATCACCTTTCTTCCAGTTCCAAAATGAACTGTGCACAACAACATTAGAAAGGCAATCCGCGTGGGAATCATGCGGATAATACAACGGCACGCAATCCATCAACCAATGAATCTTCTTTATAAATATGCAGCTTTGTGCAGCAATGTTCAGTTTGCAAGTTGTTTGCTTAATGTTACCAAATCAGTTCATTTTGAACATAGTTTTGGAGTTCTTGCTGGAGTGAAGGAGAGATGAAGATGCTATAAGTTAGCCTAATCGGTAGTTAAACTTTTGATTGATACTTCATGAAACAGTACGAAACACACACATTCCAATATTGATACCGATAATTTGCGTATAATCATATGAAGATCCTTTGGAAAAGCATTCTGCAAGTGTCGCAAAAGGGATAACACCTGGGCATTGCAAAAATAATCAAAGCATTCAACTCACAAGGAGTTTTTAGTGTCAGTTCGGCTTCAGTTCCAATCATGTAGCCTTGTTCTCGAGTGATACTGCATACGCTCTCGGTGGTTCTTTCGGTTTTGAACGAATACTCTTGCTGACGATCTGTATTGTTGGTGTAGATCGATTTGAACAGAGTGTACGGTCGTGCGCCCATTGGATTGAGATGTGAGTATTTTGGCTCATCGTGAACTACGATCAGTTTCTTTCGATTCTGAAATTCGAGCAATTTGAATGTTGGATCTCAAATTA